GAATGCTACTCATCCCCCTTGGAATCATGCTCTGCGTGGCTCATTCATGACCAAGCCGCAGTGAGAAGCAGAGGAAGAGAACCTGTTCTAAGGTAACCCCCTGTGGCTGAGAAGGGGGGCTTCTGGCTCAGCAGCAGACCCAGGAAGCTCTATTTGGATACACAGATGTCAAAAACTGTCAAAGCATGGCCTATATTCCCTGAGCACCAGGGTGGAACAAGGCATGTTGCAAGGACATCCTGGTTAATATCTTAAGGAATTTCTTATCAGGGGGTGTTCCAAGGCAAGGAGGATTGAATTGTCTTGTTCATCACTGGGGGTGGGGTGTGTGTGTGTGTGTGTGTGTGTGTGTGTAATAAATGATTAATAAACTGTTCACCATTTACTAATTGAATTTTATATAGAAGGAATCTATTTAAGAACTCCCTGGTTTTGTGGCCAAGCTTGTGAAAGTGGCTTCTGTAATCAAAAACACTAGGGAGGGAAGTCCAGAAATCTTTGCACAAGGAGGGTCAATCCAAGAGCTGTTTATTACTACAACTACTCTGAAATCAGGCATCTGCTCCTAAAACAAGTTCACAGAAATAAAAAATATATAGTTTTGGGGAATGGGTTTGATTGCTGCAAACATCACCCAAGCATTCCAAAGCAGAGGGACAGTGATGCAATGGCAAAATGATATCTCATTGTAAGAACTGTCTGACATAGAACAAACTTCCTGGCAGAGAAAAGTGTAAAAGGCCTGTATTCTATTTAGTAATTCCTTCTTCCCAAATTCAGATCCAAACCAGCTGAATTAGAGTTCAGACAAGCAGCAGCAAAGGAGAAAGATCTTCATTATTTAACAATATTGGGCATCTGATGCGTTGCTCACTGGTACTGTGCTTCCCAAGCCCAGATGGTGAGGATGCTCAATTTTAGGAGAGTTTGTGAATCCATCAGAAAGCTCGGCCAGGCCGTGGTGGTCCAGAAATCTGGGGTTCACATGCTCCTGTTACTGCAGCTGTGCAGGTAGAGGTGTACCTGAACGTACCTCTTGTCCCGTCACACTCCCTCTGCCAACTCCTCCGAGCTCTTTCCTGCCAGGGGCAGCATCGTTCGGTGCTTGTCACCCTCAGAGTCACTGGCATCCCTTTTCCTTGCCACTGCCTCTTGTGATTTGGCTGCAGCCTGTGCCTTTTTGTGCTGAGAAAGAAATTAATGTCACACTTCACTATTACAGAAAGATCCAGGGATTAAATTCCTGGATTCCCTTTCCAGTCTTACCACGGCGTTGGTATGTAAACCATACCAAAGCTTTGGTATTAATTAAGTCTCTACACTTAATTCAGAGTTTAGTTAATGCCTGATGATTCTGTTCCACTGCAGAGGAGAGCTGTGACACTCAAATGTTAACAACAGTGTGATCCAGGGGGAAAGGCTGACAGTGCCCAACCACTGAGAAACGCTGCCCAGCCTCTAGAGCAAACACAGAACACCAGGCTCCCCCCTGAGGAGCCATCAGCTCATTCTTTACTAGAGCTTTCTCTCATTTAAGTTCAAAGGAGCTGTTTTCCTTTGAAGTTCTAATTCATCCAAAGAGCCTACCTAGGCAGAACTGTGAATCACCTCCAATATAATGTGTGTCATCCCGCATCCCCTTTAAAAGAAAAGGGGAAAACACTAACTTGTTACTAGCTAAGAAATGTGTTCATTTGATGAATTACATGTTTATTCCATGCCAGCTTCCAAGCTTCACTTGGCTACAGGCAAGTTCTGCTTAAGAAGTTATAACCGAGGGTTCTGAATTTTAGTGTCAGAACCCTGAACACAGCCAGGAAGGGGTTTACACACTTGATAGAACCACTAAGTAGAATAAAAACCTTACTGTGGTCTGTCATTTTACCTTTTGCTATAAGTCGTTCTGCAACTCTCTGGAACAGGAGTAAGGATAGAAAAAGTACACACACAGAAAAAAACCCAAAAACTAGGAAAGCCTTTGATATAGAATCACAGAGTGGTTTGGGTTGGAAGGGACCTTAAAGCTCCTCCATCTCCAACCCCTGCCACGGGCAGGGACACCTTCCACTAGAGCAGGTTGCTCCAAGCCCCTGTGTCCAACCTGGCCTTGAACACTGCCAGGGATGGGGCAGCCACAGCTTCTCTGGGCACCCTGTGCCAGCACCTCAGCACCCTCCCAGGGAAGAGCTTCTGCCTTGTATCTAACCTGAACTTCCCCTGTTTCAGTTTGAAGCCATCACCCCTTGTCCTATCACTACAGTCCCTGATGAAGAGCCCCTCTCCAGCATCCTTCCTGTGCTGGAAGCTCTAACTCACGCTCAGAGGGGAAATGCTCGTTACCCAGATGACAGTCGCTCTAAACACGGTTTCCTCCCCGCTGTCCTCCGGTTTGTGAGCTTCCCCCTGGTGGTTACTTTCAGCTTTACACATGGTAGAGAGAAGCGCAGCGCTCCGTAAACCTAACGAATGGCACCTAGAACTGACCTGGTCGCTGCGCGCAACCTCCCTTCTGTGTTTGTCCTCTTCCTCTTCCTGGGCAGCTCGCATCTCCCCCCTCGGACCTCTGGTTTTATGGACACTTTCTTCTGCAAGGAGGAGAAAAGAAAAGAGCTGTTCAAAGGGTACTGCCATGGCCTGGTCATGCTGAGGCTACTAAAAGGTCCCTATACATGCGCCCAGGTGAGGTGAGGAAAGAAGCAGGAATACAGAAGTTACTGGATTCCTCACTGGAGGAATGGTGCATCAAAGTAAAGCCACTCTTCCTTTACACTTACAGCAGTGTCCCTTACCTTGATCAGGCCAGTGCTGCACATCCCTGTTGCTCCTTCTGTTTTGTCCTGCATGAAGAGGTTTAGCATGGAAAAGGGACTCCTCTTTGAGGTGAGATTTCCTGGTTTGCCTCTGCAGTTGTGGAAAAGCAGCTGGGATGTTGCCTTTCCCTGCAGCTCCCGTGGTCTGCATCCCGGGACCGTCCAGCTGCAAGGATTCAGCACACAATTCTGACAGGCCTTGATAAAGCAGTTTGTAAGAACAAGAGGAGTTTTAGGGCAGCTTTCCCCTATGACTCTTGATCCTGACTGCAACAAAGCTGCAACACTGCAGTCTCTGAGCAGGGTTTGAAGTTACTATTACAAGTGTTACAGATATAGGGAACACATAAACCACTTTTGGCAGTCACTGCTACCTGTCGAGGTGGTTCAGCAAGAGCAGAGTCACCAGCTCTGTCCTGGGAGGTGGCACAGAGTTCCCCAAACTGAAAACAAAGGAAAAGGAAACTTCAAAAGCAGATAGCACAGACACACATTTCAGAGGACAGCCTAGGACAGCCCAGCGGCTGAACCTCTGTGGGGCATTTTACCCACACAGGAAAGATATCCCAGCTCCAGATGGAACCCTCCCTGCCCATCAGCCAAAAAGGAGGAGAGGTGAGCAGGGCCACCTGAAGGAGCTTTTCTATGGCCAGTGAGATTCAATGCAAGTGTGATCTGGCCACATCACTGCCTCTAGCCCCATTCCTTTGGGAATGGTGCAACCGTAGCCATGGCAATTGGGAATGGAGATGGCTGGACACATCCACTGCTTGTGGAGGGATTGCAGCACACACGGTCCCGCGCCGGCTGAGCCACTCACCCTCCGGCGGTGCCTTTTGCGCCTGTTATTTGGGTGGTTCCTGTAACAAAGCAGCAGATTCAGTGCCCTGACACTGAGAGCTTTGCAAACACATTATTTCTTCCTAAACTTCCAACACATGAGGCAAAACTCAAGCCCTGAAGCAGACAGCACTGAACAGGAGGGGCACAAAGAGGATGGCTTTAGCTGAAGACCACAGAGAGGATTCTTTAAGCCACTCAGCTGCAGTCTACGTACCACAGTGTCCTCCTGGCAGGATCCTGGGGCACCAGCAGCTCAAAGTAAGGCAGTTTCTTGTACTCCTCACTTCCCACTGCCACGTAGTATCCTCCATTCATCAGCTCCTCTCCACCAGACACCCAGGTTCCATCCAGCCTGCAGAGCCTTGAGGAAGAGACAGCAAAGGCTTCAGAGCTGAGGTGAGACCCGGACCATGGAAACAAACAAGTGCAAGTGGTAAACAGGGACGAGACAAGGCAGAGGATCAATCATTGTTCATGTTACTCCAAGGAATGTAACCTTGTTACCCAGTGATCAGTGGGATGCAGTAGATCTCAGCCCTCCCCTTGGGTGTCAGTAAATAGGTGTATGAGTGGAAGGTAGGCTCTATTTGTTGGGTAAAAGCCCATCCCTCTAAGACATAAGCTCCCTTTTATTCCATGCTTTACTGTTGGCTTATTTTTTCAGCAGACCATGAGCACCATCAGCCCTCCCCACTAAGCACTGGGGTTCTCTGATTTAAAGATGAGAAAACCTGAAAATCAAATGAGTTTGCAAAAGCAGACTGGAAGTGGCTGGCTGAGCTCCCAGCCCTCTGCTAAACCAGAGCTGCTTATGTTCTGAGTGTAAGGGAACAGGAGCCAGCAGAGCCTTACCCGGACACTAACCTCACAGCTCCACTGTGCAGGGCGGCTTTCTCTGTCACCGTGGCCAAGAGTGAATCCCACTGGAGCAGGGTGCTCTTGGAGACTGGCAGAGGGAAAGGAGGGCTCAGCAAATCCCCATTCCGGAAAACACTGGAAGAAACAACCCAGAGCAGGCGATGAGCAGGTATTCCCGCAGCTGTGGAAGATGGGGAGGGGGGAAAAGCAGCCACTGATGCCTGGCTAATATTTATGACAAAGACTCCTGGTAGAAGCTGGGAATTGGCCCTATGGGGCAGCATTCCCAGGATCTCACAGAGCAATTCCCTCCTCCATAAACATTCCCAGAGACCCTCCAAGGAGAAACCCTGGGGCACTTACTGTATGGTGCAGGGCGGGCGGGTGTCCTTCCGCCGTCGTGGCTTCCAGGGAGCTGCAGCGTGGAACTGGAGATGGAATTCAGTGCATGAGAACAGCCACAGCCCTGGCACGGAGCCTCCCGGGGCTGTTCCCTTTCCTCCAGCAGGACCTGCTGGCCCTGGGACACCTCCAGCCCTGTCTGCAGCCCTGCTGCTGCTAGGAGGGGTTTGTTGGCAGCAACAGCAAGGCTGGTGAGGCTCAGCACACAGCTGAGTGTGTGAGGAGCACAGATCCTTCCCCTGCACCGCTAAGGGGGATGAAGGGATGCAGCACCAGCAGCAGCCCTGGGCTGTCTCACCCATCCCACTGATTCCTGTGGCACTTTTACCTGGTCTCACTTGGCACCTCACAGCCTTCAACTTCAGTTTCACCAGTGCCAGCCCTAATACCCCTCACACCTCCTTCTGGGCTCCTGCCTGCACCCATCACCTCCAGGACTCACCTGCAGACCCTCATTGTTCCTCATTCCATGGAGCTCCTTCCTTCCATGATTTAAATAGCTGTGAGAACAAGACAACAACACCAGCTGCAACACACAGAAAGGAAACGACCAACTGCTCTGCCCTGGTGCATGAGCACTTATTTGGGTCCCTTCTGTCCCCATTCCTCAGGTGCTCATGGTCTCCCAGAACTTCAGTCTAAATTAAAGACCTCTACATTTAAGAGATTCCCAGCCAAATACAGCACCCAGGTTTTATTCCTTTGTGCTGCATGAAGGCTCCAAGGGCTGCCTGGTGTTAATGCAGGCTGGAGCACCCCCTCAACAAAACACACCAGGGAGCCAAATTCCCCTCACACACAGACACATCCTCTCAAGGGATGTCACAAAACCTCCTTTAATGCTCTATTTCAGGAGGAGCCAGACCAGCTGCACACCGTGCGGGAGTGGAAAACAAAATCCTCCTCCAAAGCAAAGCAGAAGCATTGGAGGGTAGGTAGAAGGTGGCTGCAGAACCTCCCACACACCACAGGGTGCTCGAAGCAGAGCAGCACCCATCCCAACATCCTGCCAGAGAGCACAAGCCTCCCTTTCTTTCCTGAGAACCAAGTGATGTTATCAGGAATATTTGCATTTTCCATTCAATCTGGAATTTGTGGCCTCAAGCTGCCCCAGGGCAGGTTTAGCTGGAGCTGAGGAACAATTCCTTGCCCAGAGGGTGCTCAGGCATTGGAACAGGCTGCCCAGGGCAGGGCTGGAGTCACCATCCCTGCAAGTGTTCACAGCCCAGGTAGACGAGACCTCAGTGCCAGGGGTTAGTGGTGGCCTTGGCAGGGCTGGGAATGGTTGGACCTGATGAGCTTAAAGGTCTTTTCCAGCCTGGCTGAGTCTATGGTTCTGTGTCTCATGGTTCCTAGAAACTCACCTGTCTCTGCTTCCCATTTGGTTGGTCCCGCTCTTTCCCCAGTGTTCCCGCTCACGCCCCAGTCCATTCCCCACCGAGGGGACCTAAAGCTGTTCACCAAACCCCATCTACTCACTCGAGCTTTTTGAAGCTCTCCAAGCCCGCAGCCACGTACTGGCACCCATCCTGCAGGTCCCCCAGCCCCGCCACGCGGCTGCCCTGCCGGGGGGTGTAGAGGTTCCTCACGGCCACGGGTGCATCAATGCTCTTGGTCACCTCGTTCAGGAACGTCTCCAAGGTCGGCACCCGCCGCTGGTTCACCACAAACCTCCTCCCGGGGAAGAAGGGGTCACCGTTGCGATACACCAGCACGTTCTTGGCTGGAGGTGCCAGGGCCAAGCCACGGGAGCTCATGTCTCAGGGGTCAAGCAGAAGCTCTGCTGACCACACACAGACCAGTGTGGGGAGAAGAAGAGAGCTCCAGCAGCTGAGCCCAAACCCTCCCACCAGCCACTCTCGGGCTCCACGGTCCCTTCCCAGCGCTGCCCGGTGTGAGTGGCTGTCTCCATGGATGCGGGCCCCGGCGGAGGAAGTTGTGGGGCCGCCTGGAGGCCACATCAAACAACCTGAAGAGCAGCTTTCGATCTGAAAAGCAGGAACCACTCGGCTCTTTAATGCTCAGACACCAAACACTGCGAGCTCCCTCACCAGGCACTGCGGCCACCAGGCTCAGATTAACAGGGAAGCTGTGGCTGCCCCAGCCCTGGCAGTGTTCAAGGCCAGGCTGGACACAGGGGCTTGGAGCAACCTGCTCTAGTGGAAGGTGTCCCTGCCCGTGGTAGGGGTTGGAGCTGGAGGACCTTTAAGGTCCCTTCCAACCCAAACCAGACTGGGATTCTATGAATTAACAAGCCTGGAGGCACAGTAAGCACCAGTATCTTTATGGCAGCAGCTCACACCCCATCCACAGCAGCACTATTCAGATGCTGTCACCCCTTTGCCATCACTTGCTGCCCGCATGAGAAGCGCGAGGGGTTTCTGTCCTGTCTGTCTCAGACAAACACCCACATCCCAGCGGACGCTCCACCCTCTGCACTGAACAGGATGCTGTGGGTCGGAATGGACCCTGGACTCACTTGGCTCTGCCCAGGAGAAGGCAGGAGCCAGCCAGGAATAGACAAGAGATGAGCATCAGGAAAGCTTTTTATTCACAAACGAGTCGGCTTCATTCAGGACCAGGAGGATTCATCCAGCACAGGGCAAGGGTGACTGCTCAGGCAGCAGCAGCGCAGAGTGTTTCCACAGCAGACGTGGCGTCGCGGTAAAGAACCACAGCACCACGTGGGCAGCCACCCCAACTATGCAGCTCACACACTGGTACGGATCGCACACAGGTCAGCACAGAAGAGCTTGTTCCTGCAGGTTCAAAGCACCTTCTGCCTTCAGGCATTTTAGTTCCACCACAAGCAATCAGCTGGGCTGAAAGAGCCTTCTCTAAGCAAGAGTCCTCCTAACCTTGATTTTCCCCTAGGACCATCCAGCTCAGCCGACAGAAACAGGGTTCTTGCAGAAGGAGGTCTCAGTGGGACCCCCTCCAGGACACAGCACCACCTCCCTCCCGGCTTCACAGGGATGTTTAACCCCTGCTTTGGCCAAATAATCACATTTAAAAGAAGTAAAAGGCTTTCTTGCAGCATTCACCTGAAGTGGAAAACGCCAACCCAGAAAGCTGGAGTTCCCCATAGCTGCTGCTGTCCATGAGGCCACGTCACAACGCCACTGCTGGAGCTCCACAGCTTCTCCACACCAGTACAAGTGCCCCTTATGCTCAGGAAGGTCCTCCTCGGGGTGTCCCCAGCTTCTGTTTCAGCGTCAAGAACTGCAAGACAAGGAAAACCAAGCATTAATGATGAAATCCCAGAGGTCTGAGGAGCACGGCAGCCACCCTTGCAGAGAAGCCACTCAACCCCAGGCCCGTCGCTCTGCCCCACTGCTTTGGAAGGGGCAGGGCCAAGCCCTTACATTTTTACGGCTGACAATAGCTTGTTCCAACCACAGCAGCTCCATGACCAAGTGGTTCCGGTAGGACTGGAGACCAGACCGAGTCTGAGGAAGCTCCTTTATGTCCACAAGTGGAATTTCTGCGAAGAAATGGAAGAATAAGCTGTCAGTAGAACAAAGATTCCCACTGCTGCATCTCCTGCACCGAGCTGCTCTACCTTCCCCAAGGTATTTGCAAGGCTCTTGCTTCTCTACTGTGCTGCTGGTGCTCACCAGCAGGTCCTTCAGCCCATGCAAGAGATCACAGCTCCTGGCTCTTACCCAGGCAGGCTTCAAGGGACTCTGCCTCCAGGTCAGAGGACATGGTGCTGTTGTTCTGCCAGCCCTTGCTCTCCGCTGGGGCACTGCACCCCTTTTCAGGGTGTTCATCAGCATCAGCCTTGAGATTCAGGGGGGTCACTGCATCTCCTGCACCCGCGGGGCTCAGCCCCTTCTCGCTCAGCAGCCGGGCTGTAGGATTCACGCTGCTGCAGCCCTGGTCCCGTTCTGGCTCAGAGGCGTCCAGCTCCTCCTGTGGTTTTTCTGTGCTGGCCTTGCCACTTGGTGCAGCCTCACGTGGACTTGAGCAGTTCCCTTGTGCTGGCTCCTAAAGGGACAACGTGCAAGAGACTGAACTATATGGAAAAGACACCGATCTGCAAGGTGGCTGCTGCGGAGCCTGCAGCGCTCCTGCCGTGACACCGACGTGCTCTGGTCCCCCCCCCTCCCGTGACACCGACGTGCTCTGGTCCGAACCAGCAGCAGCTCTTGCACAGGCTTTCCTTCCAGATGTGCTCAAACCACTGGAGAGCAGCGCTCAGCTGGAGCGGGTCCAGCGGTCAGTGCAGGACCGGGCGAGGGGGGGACCCCCAGGGCAGCGCTGTGTAACCCCTGGGTTTAGCGTGGTAGAACGACAGGGC